GCCGACCGTTCATACCAACCCTTGTGTACGCTCCACTCCTGACTGACAAGGCAACACACATGGTACGTGCATCCAATCTCGAGGTTGCTTGCAGCCTCGGGGATACCCCCAGACCCAACGGTAGTGCCACGCTACCAGGATTCAGCGCAGCTTCAGCCTTGGCCTTAGTTTGCGCTCAGAACAGTGCTCTTAGCGGCTCCACGCAACAGCAGTCTTGGGCCTTGATTTGCACTCACAACGGCGCTCTTAGCGGCTCCACGCAATAGCAGTTTCAGTCACTGATCTGCCCGCCTTGCAGCAGCGCTTTGCAGCAGGTAGTCTTTTCTAGGAGCCCCTTAGCACTCACTTAAATACACTAATTTGGTCCTGCCCTTACAGTCTCTGTAAGCCCTAACTTTTGTTGACCTCAATTTCAAACAATCACGCACAGCACCATCGACTACCACCCTCACCCCACGCCAACCGGTCTGCCCTGACTGGCCAGACCCGGTGGCACCTTGACTTCCGGAGATGGGAGGTTTGAGGGATTTTCGCCCCATAAATGGCTCACTGCCTCTCAACCTCACGTAACCCTGGCCATCTCACATCACCCCGGGGCGATAGAATTTGTCTATACTGTTAGAGCATGCAATTATTTTTATTTTTCCAGGTAAAGCCCACTGAGAGCTATTAGTTATTTTTCAAAAGCAACTGGGGCACTGCTAAAAAGTACTTCTCTTTTCATCTTATGCTATGTGTAAAATAATGTTTTTTTGGTAACAGCTTCTCTCAATATTAATGTCTGAAACATCTAGAGTATCAACAATAACATCATATCCATTCACCTTGAAGCAGCTACGCCCTATCTATTGTTCCGCACACAAATTCATTTTCACCATCAATCTGACCTCACACACCTAATGCATCCAGTGTACAGCCTTGTTCACGTATTGCACTTCAAGATGACATTTTTGTATTCAGCAGTAAGTGTATGTATTTAACAATGCCTCTGTGGGTTTGTATTCCTCTTCCTAGACTTAAAAAATATGAAATTTCAAATGTAGATGATCACTCAACTCTTCTCTAATCATACTCTGACAAATACACTTTCATAACAGCAATATCCTAGTGATAAGATCGTGAAGATTATTTATTTGTGCAATTGAGAACTTTGAACAGTTGGTTAACTTTGCTACATACCTACCAGTTTGTTTTTTTTGCATCACAGATAGAATTTCCATATAAAACTGACATTACTGCGCCTAAGATTAGCACGGTTTGCTAGGTACATTGCAAAAGAAGTTCAAAATACATACTAATTGGCACATGTGACCACTGTCTGATCACTGTAAAATACTGCTGCACTCTTATACTTAACATTCACAAAGCTAAATGTATTATTTGGTGATTTTGTAGAGAAGAGAAATTAGTGGTGCGCACAGTTAAGCGGGTACAACGGAGGGCAAACAGGTGTGCGCGTTGCAACATGAGTTTTGCACAGACAAACCGCCAGTAATTAAGGGGAGAAGCGGGTGCAACCGAGGTTGAGCAGGTGGGTACGCTGTGACCGGAGGTTGGCACCTAGGAGACGGGAGATGGGCGGTGATGATGAGGGATTAATGAGACAACTGGCGCCGGCCTGGCGGCAGCTTATATGGAAGCACGTGAGGACTTGGAATGAGCAGGGGGATATAAGCGGGAGTGGGTGTGAACGAGGGGAGTTGTTGCTGGGGAACCAATAGTGAAGACATCTCGCCGTTGCCGCTCCAGCCAGAAATGGGACTTCAACCCTCATGCCGTCACCGGGCGGGTGTTGGCTGAACCCCCCGCCCGGGACAGACGGGTGAGCGGGTCTGATGGAGCATAGGTGAGGGCAGTGGTGGAGATGAGTGCGAAGCTGCTGTGTGCGGAGTCGCTGAGTGCGAAAACGCTGTGTGTGGATTCGCTGAGTGCGAAGTTGCTGTGTGCGGAGTCACTGAGTGCGGAGCTGCTGTGTGCGGAGTCGTTGAGAACAGAGCTGGTGAGTGCAGGATAAGTGAGGTGCAGAATAGAACGGAGCGGGGAGAAGTCAAGTAAATGTGACCGAACAGATAGTTATAGGTGTGCCTATAACTAGCGCAATAACAGGTGGATAAAGTGTAAGCAGGTGACTTGTTACAATTTTGTCGGTGTGAGTAATTTTTGAAGACACTACAATATGACCATTCTGGTTTGGATGGTCTTTGTAACTTTTATTCTGCTTTCCTTTGTGCACAACATGATTTGCAACAAATTATGGATCCATATGTGTTCCGGCTATTACTGGTATTATTATAGCGGGCAGGTCAACCGTTATATCTTACATCAGCACTTTTTGGATAATTAACTCCACGGTTTAACCTTCACTACCAACAGTCACTCCTAAAGAGAGCATTTTGGAGATAGTGTCACGCTTAATTTCTCTCATCTCGCAAAATTCAAAGCTGCATGGAACAATTGCAGATGTAGTCATCTGGCAAGCATAAATTGATTAAATCACATTTGCTCAAAACTGGCATTACATCCAGTTGGTTCTCAGCCATTCTGGATGTTTACCAAATATGCATCAATATGTCTGAAAAACATAATTTCCATCAATAATGGATAAATTTGAGTCCATATTTCTTGGCGCAAAAAAACAAGCACAATCGGTTTGGTAATTTTTAGATCAAATTTGAAGGCCACCTAGAAGTGATTCCTTCAAAATATGCATGATGTCAGGTACTATTTAAACATAATACCTTAAAATCTTCTGATGTTCTTAAATTGTGTTCTCAGAACATATAGGTTATTTTTAGGCATTTCAAGATATATTATAGTATCATTATATACTTTGGGTCTTTTGGTAAACCCACGTAGATAGAAAAATCATTACAAAAAAAATATAGTACCTTTACTGTACCAACAATTTAGAAATTTGGGTCTGTAATGTTATGCCTTGTGTAACATAAAAATACATTGAGTCTTGTCTGGTAACTACTTTACCGAATTTCATTAAGGAGTACCCATGACAGTGCTTAGTTCACACACCGAAGCTTAAGTAATGCCATTGCTCTTAGTCTATGTGCAGTGGCATAGTGTAGTAGCAAAGCCCTGGCTGCTGGCATGAAAGGGGATCTGCGGCGAACGGCAGCCCTGACATCAGCAGGCCAAGATATACACCAGAGGGGGATTTAGGGGAAAGGTCACAGAAGGGGCACACCAGGAACCCGCGAGTAGGTTCTAGAAAGGGGGCGTGGCCGGGGGCAGAGCGAGGCCACGCTGATAGTATAAGAGGGGCCCCTGTAGGGGACCTCGGGGCTTTGCTTGGAGTGGGATCCCCGCCGTGCTCCTGAAGTTCTTCATCACCCATTTTCTCGTCATCTTCACCATTCTTCTCGTCGTCGCCTCCGTCTTCACCATTTCGGGGCGCCACCAGTCAGGCAGCCTACAAACTGTCCTGACTGAGTAGCATCGCCAACAATAGACGGACTAATTATTAAGAGTGTTAACCCCGATGGTGATTAAGTCTTATCGTCACTACATTTGGCGTCAGAAGTGTGAAAGAAATAGAAATTCGTCATGTCAAAAGCGTCAAAGAGGAAGAACCCACTGATAGTGTCCTCTGGAGACAAGGACACAGGGATGTGGTCCCCTCGACATCTCCGGAATATAGAACCCCGGTGATGTGTCCTGAGGTGGCGATGCCAGCGGAGCAGCAGGAGAGGGACGTTGGCACCTTTGCAGCCGCCGGTCGGAGAAGGGTGGTGTGACCTCACCGGGCGCCTCGCGGGCCTGCACTCCGTTGCAGTGCAGCTGGTCATCCAGCTCGGGTCCACGGCGCCTACCGGAGATGCTGCAATACGAGGGTCTCGTGGCGGACGGCTCACCTTCCACCGCCGCACCAGCGCGGGAAACGGCGGAGTTCCCGCCCGCACAGGCGGCCGCCATTTTGAACGCCGCGGGCACGGTGCAGCAAGTGACCACCATTTTGTCGTCCGAGCGGGAAATTCTACCCGCCAAATTCAAGTAACCATTGGTGGCTTCCGTCTCTACAGAAGCGCCTGCCTACCATCCGCAAGTTCGTGGCTGCAGGGGGTAACTGGACGCTTTTTTAGCGCTGTTTCAAGTGGCTTGCACCCTGGTCGGGTGGTGAGACGCAGAGGCTCTGCGGGCTCTGCCCACGGCGCTGGATGACGACTCCTTGGAGCATTTGAGGCCATCCCCTAGGCTGACCGGGCAACTCTACCTCGGGCATGCGCTCAGATGGCTGCTATTTTTGATCCACCGTCCAACGCGCGTCGAAGGTTCTAGCAGGGTCCTGCTAGATTCAGACATGGTGATCTTAATTTTGACTATTGGTGATCCATCACAATATACTTTAGACAAATGTCATGATTTGTAATGAAGAACCGGCTCTTAACCATACAAAATCGAAACATAACTCATCCTCAAATTAAAAAAATATCGTATTTGGTGCAGGTAGGCTTTCTCTTGCATCCTGGATTTTCTCTCACAAATGTGATGGTCTATCTACATTGCACTCGCAAGAAAGAGACAACTCACAGGGCTTCCAGCCTGCATGAAGGATGAACACTTATTGCACTTATGGTAAGATCCTCTCATGCTGCTCGCAAAGCTAAAGGAGACCGCAGATGAGTGCAGCTCAGCCTGCAGCTTTGTCACAGCTGCGAGTGTTGACACGTGGCTCATGTGAGTGGGGAGGCACGTTTGCTCAACTTATAGTCAATGAAGATTAGGATTGGCATTGAATCCTTCAGCAACTCAAATGGCCTTACATCACATCTCCTCTCAATTATTCTCATGTCCAGCTGTGATTTTTAGTCAAGGGAACCCTCTGATGACAACTGTCTCTGTGCGGCACAAGGTGAATGCAGTACCAGGCCACGACTTGGTATTAGTATTCAAGTTCGGGGGTGATATTGTTTTTGCTAATTTAATAACTTGCAAGTAATTTGTGTAATGTTGCCAAACATTAACAATGTCATGCATTGTGTTTGTAGATGTGCAGTTAATGGAGGACCTTCAGTCTGAGGAAAATGAGCTTCGAATGAATGAAGATGATGTTCTAGCTGACAGAGAAAACCTGGTGCTTAGAGAAGATCATCTGGCTGAAGGAGAGGAAATTCATGCTGAAAGAGGGAGCCCTCATTCTAATGGATACGTCGTTCTGGATGAGGGAGATGATCTTCAGAAGTACAAAGAGATCCTTCAGGTTGGTGAGGAAGACCTTGGATGTGAAGGAGAAGACCTGCAGGCTGAAGGAGACGACCTGCAGGCTGAAAGAGAAGATGTAAGGGATGATGAAAATAACCTGCAGGCTGACAGAGATGACCTGCAGTGTGACAGAAATAGCCTGCAGGGTGATGGAGAGGACATCCGGGGTGATGGCTCCAGCATGACACCTGGAGAGATGTGGGTATTACGGGGAGGCCGCGGAGCACCGGAGACCTGGACCGAGGTGGAGGTGGTGCAGCCAGAGGACTCGCGCGATGGTGAGGAGCAGGGTTTCTGTCTTGTGATAGGTAACTCTACCAGATAAGCTTATTTGGGTGCTTGCCATTCTAGACTCTCACAGGAACATAGAAGTGGTGTTGACATCATGTAAGGTTACATTTATCTCCATTTGGTTTCATATTTTATAACCAGACTACAGTTAAATTTTGATTTAAAGCTTTCGTGACTGCAGTAATTCATATTCTTAGTTCTTTCGGTAAAGTTACGTTGAAGGGAAACAACAAAACAATAAAATATATACAAAACAATAAAAATTCTCACGACGTTTCGACCATAACACAAACACAAACGGTCGTCTTCAGGTGTGAAGACGACCGTTTGTGTTATGGTCGAAACGTCGTGAGATTTTTTATTGTTTTGTATATATTTTATTGTTTTGTTGTTTCCCTTCAACGTGACTTTACCGAAAGAACTAAGAATACAGACTACAGTTGCCTGCTTTCATCTGTTAAAATTGCTACATTTCTGTTTAGCATCACCCATGTGGACGCCTTAATTTTTCAGAAGTGACACTGTAGTTGTTTAATGTGATGCAAACAACGCAATTACTTTACAAATGAGATCATATAAAATGCAAAGACATTCCTCGGCCATTTGGCGTTTGAGTGCTCTCCTTGTCTCCTTTGGGCACTCCAGCAGCTTCCCACACTCAGGTAAGGTCCACCTTGTACTTGGCAAGTAAAGTATCATACCTGGACAGCAATTAAACATGGGCTAATGTTCACTAAGATGGGCATCATTAGGTGATGCAGTTCAGACCAATTATTATCAGATTGGCAATGTTCACCACGTGTTTTAAAACGTTCCCCAATTGGGGCTTTAGACATTTTGACCTTCATGAGCTCTTAATAAAAGTCCCTTTCTGTGTTCTTCCCATCAGCAGGAAGGTTTTCGGTGGAAACCCAGAGGCCCAAGTGTCCCCACTGCTGCCAGAGCTTCCTGTCGGAGAGCAACCTACACAGCCACACAGTGCAGTGTGGCCTGGATTCCAGTAGCAGCCAGAGGCAGCAGATACCCAATGCTGGTGGTGGCTCTCGCCAGTTCGCCGTACGAGGGGAGGCATTCACGCATCCAGAGGAGCTCCATGCACAGCACACGATGCATGCTGTCACAAGCATTAGCAGTGGCAGCAGCGTCCCACATGTGTACCCTGAGTGTGGGGAGTTGTTCACGGATCCGGAGGAGATGCAAGCTCACCGTGTGGCTCACGTTGCCAAACGGCCGCATGTATGTGCTGAGTGCGGGGAGGCATTTGCGTGGGCTGAGCAGCTGCAGTCACACAGAGGGGCACATGCGCGTGAGAAGCCGCATGTGTGCGAGAAGTGTGGGAAGGCATTTGCAGTGTCCGCAAACCTCCAGATGCACTTGGTAACGCACACAGGTGGGCGACCGCATGCATGCACCGAGTGCGGGAAGTCATTCACGCGGCCCGAGTTGCTGGAGCGGCACCGGCGTTCGCACTCGTGGGATAAGCCGTACATGTGCTCTGAGTGCGGAAAGGCATTCACGCAGCTTGGCAACCTCCAGAACCATGAGCGCACGCACACGGGTGAGAAGCCGCACCTGTGCCCCGAGTGCGGAAAGGCTTTCGCCGACCTCTCGAGCCTCCAGCAGCACCGACGCATCCACACGGGCGAGCGACCGCACCACTGTTCGGAGTGCGGGAGGGCGTTCAAGCAGTCGGGCAGCCTCCAGCGGCACCAGCGCACGCACACGGGCGAGCGGCCCCACCGCTGCTCGCTGTGCGGCAAGGCCTTCGCCCTGGCCCACACCCTGCAGCAACACCGCAAGGTGCACACGGGCGAGAAGCCGCACGCGTGCCCCGAGTGCGGCAAGGCCTTCGCGCAGGCTGGGAACCTGCAGCAGCACCTGAAGACGCACGCACGCAGGAAGCCCTTTAAGTGCTTCGAGTGCGGCAAGGCCTTCACGCAGCCCCGGGGTCTCAAGAAGCACCAGAGGGTACATGCCGCAGGGGCTATTGGGCAGTGACATCCATGTACAGAACATTTGGTGAAAAATGTTTCTGCTACCGTTCATAGCATGCAACCATATCACCATGATTTATTTGGGAAATGGATCAAGTGGAGTTGAAACGGGCCCAGGAATTGGTCATTGGAGACAGAAAAAATCGCTTCGATGGCCATAGTTGTCATTCTGTAAAGATTGAATCGTTTAATAAGCAAATATGTGCAGATATAGGGCACATTGGACATTGGCCTGTGTTAATTACTTGTTAAATAACAGTCTCCTGTCATGCTTTACTCTGTTTAATAAGCTACAGACCATTAAAATGCAACATTGAAAGCAGAAACCACAAAAGGAGGCTTCAGACTGTATGAAACTTTCCTGGTTCACCATTTAAAGTTTAAAGTACAGGTAGTCCCAATAATCTGTTTTTACACGATTTACAGAGGGGAGCAGACTCCAATCAACATGCTTTACTTAACGCGATTTCACACATTTCAGTGGAATTTTCCACCACATTTTCTTATACAGTGCAGTACCCAAGTATGAGGCAATGTGATTGTTGCGGGCAGAAGCAGTGAACCATCCGAATCAGTCTTTATTCTGCCTCGTGCTAGCTCAGACGTGTGTGCATTTCATCTCAATTCTATACCTTTTAATTTTCTTTAATATTCAAAATAATGTATTCATAATATGCGGTTGGGGTAAGAAGCATGGTGGTGATGCTTCAAGTGGTAGTGCAAGTAAGAAAAGTGGCAACAAAAGCTTATTGTTCTAGAGTGCTATGAGAACAATGAGTGCACATGTAATCGTTTCCGGGCTACTGGCTTGCACGAAGGTACACTCAGAACCGTCAGACAAAATGGGGACAAAATTAAAGAAAGTTACAGCCAGGTCATCTCACACAAGGCCACTCCACCCATCACAGCTCACATGCACAGACTACACTAATCTCTACTTCAGGTTACCTTCATCATTGTGTCCTTTAAAAAAATATATTATTCATGCCTAAAATATACAAGGGAAATAATAAAAAGCATTAACCAAAATACAGTCATAATAAATTAGTAATAATACATCTCCATTGAGTCGGGGGCTTGGAACGCAACCCCCCTCCTCGCTACATTATTTCTTGTGGGAAGTTAGTGTTCAATTTACACAATTTAACCTTACATGAAGGTGTTAAAGGACACATGATGAGTCGTCTATGAACTCAGGATTACTAAATATTTGCGACGCTAATCTTACGGTAATGCCCTGCAAATGTTTTAATTGTAAGCTTCATGGTTAGGAAAAATAAAAATAACTCCAACCGACCTATGTTTGAATTCTCATTTCACAAAATAAAAAAAATCCCCTGTATCGCCTTAACAATGTTGGGGCAAGTGCTGTTAGCGAGTAGCACCTATGAAGGCCACCATGGCACACGATGGGGTAGGTGGCCAGCACCACACCCGCCGCCTTTGTCTCCCCAATTGTCACCAGATACTTATTTGAGTACCTCACACACAAGAAGAGCTGCCATTCACCACTAAATGGTGGTGACATCTCCAGGGTGCTTATACCCAGCCAGATGCACTTTCAGGTCATGTGAATTGTTGAAAGCTCGCTGACAGAAGGTCACGGGACACGCCCAGATGTCATGGGTCGACTGAGATGACTGGCAGATACACCATTACTGTGCCAACTTGCTGCATTTTAGCTTCCCGGAGCTCCGCTCTTTGTTGTGTCGCTCCTCTGCCCTCCGTTGTTGTTGGAGGGTGACTGCCACAAACTGCCCAGTAGCGTCCTTTACAAGTCTCCTCCATAGAGGCCGATCTTGACATCACTGGCACCAGTCTTAGGTGAGTCCACTCAGCACCACATCCTCTTGTACCACATCAGTCCATCTGTTATCCAGACCGTGTCACGCCCATTTAACCCCCACTATCTGGCCAAACCAAAAGCTGTTTGGGCATACGGTGATTGAGCATGTGGGCTACATTCCACAACCATACAGCCTTTCCTGCCAGAGGAGTTCACCGATGAGACTGTATCCAGATCTTTAAAGGATTTGTGAGCTCACACATTCCAGCCTGGTTAAATCCAGGATGGATCATATGTAGGCCAGCCTGAATGTTGCTAACCTGTGCAGATGTTCCATTAAAGGGATATATGTTTCACAAGCATAGAGAAGGGATGGCATGACTGGTAGAGAAGACCCCGAGCTTTGTGCGGAGCGACAGACCAGGTAGCTTCCACGTAGTATTACAAAGCTGATGAAAAGGTAGTTCTACCCAACTAATTCGCAGTGAGACCTTTGCTGTCGAGCCAGAGCTGGTCATAAGCACACAACTGCTCCATCACCAATGGGGAGTTGAAGGGGTGGAGTGTTTCATGACACGACATACCCAGGCAGGTGCTAAGTGTTGGTGAGGCTGATGGCAAGGCCCCACCTCTTAGTAACATGCTCCAGATTTTGACTTAAAACTTTCATGACTGCAGGAATTAATATTCTTTGGTTATTTCGGTAAAGTCACGTAGATAGAATAATAATAAAGTGAATACAAAATTAAATAAAAAAACCCACGACGTTTCGATCGCAACACAAGCAGTCGTCATCAGGAAAAGGGGGGTTTGCCTCTAAGGGCAAGCTGTTTATAAAGGTTTAAAATGGGCATAGCCCAAGTGTCAGCAGCATGGGGGGGTGGGGGGGGGCAGGTAATGTTAATGTTCTCCTGTTTGATTTGTACTAGGTGCCTCTGTGGATGTGTAGGCTTTAACTTTTACATAGTCATTTCTGTGACCAGTCACAAGCTAATCACTCAGCTATTTCAATGCTAAATTCTATGCTAATTCCTTTGTCAAGGCGCTCTGTTTCTTCTCACACAGCTTAAAGGTCGCGGGCTGGGCTTGGCTGTGTTCGCTCCAGCGCTGTCCTCCAGACAGTCTCGTCCCTTCACCTGATGAAGGCCGCTTGTGTTGTGGCCGAAACGTCGTGATAATTTTATTGTGTTATTTTATTTTATCAATTAATTATTTTATTCTCATTCTACGTGACTTTACCGAAAGAACCAAAGAAGAAGAAAATGTTAATGTTGATGGTGGAGGTTGCTGCTGGAGGTGATGGTAGTAGTGGGCGGCGATGGTCCTGGTGGTGGGCTTCCACCAATTAAAGGGATGCCAGGTCTAAAATGGAAACATTACAGCCAGATATGACTTGAACTGGTTGATAACGTCCTTCCAGTGATTGCTGAGTTTGTACCCATCTTCTTGGTTTAAATTGTCTATATCTGTAGATATGGATGGCCGCCTTTGTCTCCCGAGTAGCGACATTCACACATCACACCAGGTATTCATTTGAGGCTGTCAGTTTTCAGTTTCATTTATTAGGTATAACCCTCTGAGCCATGCGGCTCTTGACTCGGGTGCAACCGCAACAAACAAAACATGAACAAGAAACATCTTAAAGTGACTACACACAACAGGAAAATCCAGGAAAAGACAGCAAAGTCTTCCAGAAAAAAACACCGTATTTCGACGCTGTGTGCAAAAATCCCAGTGGGATGCAAGTCAAACAATAACAACCATAAGACAATTTATATTAAAGTTATCAGGCTAACTCTGTACTACAACAACAAACATGGCTAAACCAAAAGTTTTCAAAATCACCAAAATAAAGCGGTAAAAACAACGTAACAGTGATCATAGGAACTGTGATTCAAATTGAACAATAAACGATGTACAGTGAGGGAAAAAAAGTATTTGATCCCCTGCTGATTTTGTACGTTTGCCCACTGACAAAGAAATGATCAGTCTATAATTTTAATGGTAGGTTTATTTGAACAGTGAGAAACAGAATAACAACAACAAAATCCAGAAAAACGCATGTCAAAAATGTTATAAATTGATTTGCATTTTAATGAGGGAAATGCGTATTTGACCCACTATCAATCAGAAAGATTTCTGGCTGAGCTGATATTAGGAGCACACTCTTAAAGGGAGTGCTCCTAATCTCACCTTGTTACCTGTATAAAAGACATCTGTCCACAGAAGCAATCAATCAATCAGATTCCAAACTCTCCACCATGGCCAAGACCAAAAAGCTCTCCAAGGATGTCAGGGACAAGATTGTAGACCTACACAATGCTGGAATGGGCTACAAGACCATTGCCAAGCAGCTTGGTGAGAAGGTGACAACAGTTGGTGCGATTATTCGCAAATGGAAGAAACATAAAAGAACTGTCAATCTCCCTCGGCCTGGGGCTCCATGCAAGATCTCACCTCGTGGAGTTGCAATGATCATGAGATCGGTGAGGAATCAGCCCAGAACTACACGGGAGGATCTTGTCAATGATCTCAAGGCAGCTGGGACCATAGTCACCAAGAAAACAATTGGTAACACACTACGCCGTGAAGAACTGAAATCCTGCAGCGCCCGCAAGATCTCCCTGCTCAAGAAAGCACATATACATGTCCGTCTGAAGTTTGCCATTGAACATCTGAATGATTCAGAGGACAACTGGGTGAAAGTGTTGTGGTCAGATGAGACCAAAATGGAGCTCTTTGGCATCAACTCAACTCGCCGTGTTTGTAGAAGGAGGAATGCTGCCTATGACCCCAAGAACACCATCCCCACCGTCAAACATGGAGGTGTAAACATGCTTTGGGGGTGTTTTTCTGCTACGGGGACAGGACAACTTCACCGCATCATAGGGACGATGGGCGGGGCCATGTACAGTCAAATCTTGGGTGAGAACCTCCTTCCCTCAGCCAGGGCATTGAAAATGGGTCGTGGATGGGTATTCCAGCATGACAATGACCCAAAACACACGGCCAAGGCAACAAAGGAGTGGTTCAAGAAGAAGCACATTAAGGTCCTGGAGTGGCCTAGCCAGTCTCCAGACCTTAATCCCATAGAAAATCTGTGGTGGGAGCTGAAGATTCGAGTTGCCAAACGTCAGCCTCGAAACCTTAATGACTTGGAAAAGATATGCAAAGAGGAGTGGGACAAAATCCCTCCTGAGATGTGTGCAAACCTGGTGGCCAACTACAAGAAACGTCTGACCTCTGTGATTGCCAACAAGGTTTTGCCACCAAGTACTGAGTCATGTTTTGCAGAGGGATCAAATACTTATTTCCCTCATTAAAATTCAATCAATTCATAACATTTTTGACATGCGTTTTTCTGGATTTTGTTGTTGTTATTCTGTCTCTCACTGTTCAAATAAACCTACCATTAAAATTATAGACTGATCATTTCTTTGTCAGTGGGCAAACGTAGAAAATTAGCAGGCGATCAAATACTTTTTTCCCTCACTGTACATAACATGTACGACCAAACTTTCCAGCCATAGCTGGCTGAATGAGTCACTCCATGATAGCAGGAGTATCAGTAGCAGTATCAACATTTTTCAATACACCTTTAAAGATCAGCACACTATAATCAGAACTCAAGATCATACTTTGCAGCGGTCATCCAGAACGATACATTTGATTTCAGGCCATTCTGATTTAAGTTGCAAGTTTATTTGCAATAGCATTCCATACCTTGGGGGCATCAATAGAAAAGCCCCTTCCTCCAATATCTGTATGGCAATAAGGAATGTGAAGCTGGTAGGTCACTTTTGTTCTTTGAAACAGTGAGGAGATCCAGCAGGTAGTCTGCTGATTTTTTTGTAAGTACATCGTGAATAAGTCGAACCAGCGGAGGCTGAGGACCGATTCAGATAATCGTTACTGGTGTTGGCCCTGAGCGGTAATTGAACTCGTGTCGCTGGGTTCTTAGCGCAGTGTGCTAACCATTGTCCTACCGCTCCCCTTGGAAATCCACGCCCCCACTGACACTTCAGGTTCACCACATTACACGCTACTCACTCAACCTCACTGCATTCACCCTCACACTGCAATACTTATCACACTCATACACTGCTCTATACACCACACAATCTTCTATAGAAATAAAGCAGACTTTGCGTATGTGTGTTTGTGTGTGAACCAATTGCGCTAACACCATGAAACCTACACACCCCAAATTTTTCATGCATACTCACGGGTGAGTTAGTGTGTTTTTCGTACTTTTTATCTTACCTGGTTGCCTTCAACACTTGCACAGTCCAACCCCCCCCCCCCCCACCCGCCGCTCTATCGCCATGAACCTTATGGCAAGACCCCGGGGTCCCATAAGCCCCCGGCTCTCGCATAAACTGTGTTGCCACGTCATTTAATGTCTGTTGAAGGCGAACGATAGGGAAATCTATTCCTCTCGATGAGCTCTACACGATGCGCTAATCAAAGCTCCAAAGTTTTTTTTCTTCTGCGCATTCGTCCTCGCTGC